ATAGAACCGCTATTTACCCGATTACTTGTTTTGATTTCGACGGAAAGGGCGCGTGTCTAAAATACCCGGACGGCTATTCTTCTATTCAAACCGTAGTTTGGATTCTACAGTATATCCTTTCAAAACACTTCCGTATTCGATGTTTGATATACCATTAATCAAAATGTGTTAAGCAGACATAATTTATGAGGATTTGTGTGAGATCCATATTTCAGTAACATTCTTATCATTTTAACATCCTCGTGTCATCCACGGTTACTACATGACTGTATTACGATCAATAAATGGGTGCTTGCTAATTTTTTTGTCACTGCTTTTAACTTCAGTCCATTGTCCATTTGTTTTATATTTAATTTGTCACAACTTTGGATCAAAAGTCGAAGTTAACACATGAATGCATGACAAAGAGAGATATGATTGGAGAGACTGAATTTCCCAAGGGTCTCTAAAAGCTACTGCAAGCTCATAATTCTCATGCTCGTATCAGAAAATCTGTCAAACCCTTGTTGTGAAACTGGAAAGACCATAGTTACCAAGCTAAAATGCACAGGACTCGATCAGAACAACTGTAGCGAAAACCAATCTGTTGCCTCATGGAACTTGATTGACAGAAAATAACGGCGACACCCTGAGATAATGAGAGCCAACAAATAGTTTGGTGGAAAAAAACCAGATTCACTTATAAACACTTTCTACCGCACTTAATAAGAGATAATGAAGATGTCACATTTGCAGTGCTCAACAATGCTACTATCGGAAACCTCCTCATATATAACGATACCAGAGCCAATCCAACTAGATGCCGAAAATGATGTGATGTGTAGATGAACTTGAAAAACACCGGAATTCCGTATTTTCAGAAATATTAGCTGGTCAGTTTTCATAAGACGTTGTAGCGGTAAATAGATCCCCAAAATAAATAGCTCTGTAAGTTTTCGACATTGGATACTGACCATATGTTTTAGTGGACTCATCTAGCTGAAGGCGCTCGGTCAGGCATCCGCACCAGATCACGTGTGGTAACGCCGTGCTCAACATCAACCGCAATCGCTAGCCAGATTAGATCAGAGAATTCCGATATATTGGTCATCGCCAAATATACTCTTCCGATCTCCTCGACTCTGTCTTTTGATTTCTCTGGGCGGGAACGAAATATATTAGGTGTTACTGGTAGAAGCGTTGTCAAACACTGAACACCTGTGACACCATCAACGTGTACCCAAATGTAGTTTCGTATGGATGTTTGACCGATTTCCTACAGCTTAGAATGTGTCCGGCAAGACTAATAAGGTCAGCACCATTGTCGAAAACTTGTAAAAATATGTATTTTTGATATCTATTTGTCACTAGGGTTGTTTATGTGTTTTCGAAATACCCTCCGCTTTGTCTATTTTTACAATCGAGTGAATTAGAATTTAATGGTATTCCTGAAGAAAACGGGTTCATTGACTCTTGTTTCTTAAAGTAATACCGTGTTTCAAAATCTTCTTGAATCCCTTGTCAAGATGTATCTTGATGAAACAGAATCTGGCCAAACTGATAACAAAAGCTTTCATACGCTGTACAGAAAGATAAATGAAGAAAATAAGACGGTATGACTTCTCAAAATCTTTTGACAGGGTCAACCATATATGTCTTGCCAGTAGGCTCAAACGATTAGGTACCAAATCACCTCTAAATGATTGGCTCAATTCATAATTGAAAAATCGGCATTTTAAAGTCAGGGTTAACTTCGCTTTATCTCAGACTATGAAATGTCCTAGTGGGGTTCCCTAGGGTCCAGTACTACGATCTCTTCTTCTCTTGATTTATATACACGATCTTCATTACAAGTATCGTTTGACCTATTACTTTTTGCTGATGATGTGAAACTCTGGGGAGAGATATGCAACCGAGAGAATGTACTGGCACTTCAGGAGGTATGACAACGGACTTACCCTTAACACTTTAGAGTGTAGAGTAGTCCACCTGAGACATGCTGCAGACTACAGTTACAACTCCTCTCTAGAAATACTTAAAGTTGAAAGAGACTTAGGAGTACTGGTACCCTATGATCTGAAGTTTTACGCAAACTGACAAAAATACCTTTCGAGCAAACCTTGCACTGGTAACATTGAGGCGCATTTTTGGCCAGTTTGACGGAAGAACTTTCCACATAATTTTCAACAGTTTTATTCGTCCCCAGTTAGAGTACGGAAACGTAGTATTGCCTGCCTCACTCCAAAAGAATAAGGACACTCTGGAGCGTATCCAACGGCGAGCTACGAAATCAGTTCGGAGACTCAAATTCAAGCCTTATGAAGAGCGCCTCCAGTCACTAAATCTTCACCCATTAGAGTACAGACGTCTTAGATTTGGCCTTACAGCATCCTTAACACTTCTGGACATCCTCTAAAACACCTACTTAAGTTTAGCTGCAACACAAACCTAAGAGGTAACACTCAGAAACTGGAGACACAACGTGGAAGAACGGACTGTAGACACAACTTCTACTCCTAGAAAGTTGTCTAGTGCTAGAATTCGCTTCCAGCTGAGCTAGTTCAAGGGACTTCCTAGAAGTCCCTTAAGAGGAAACTTGACCTATTCTTCAGGACTAAGGATAGTGTCTTACCATGATTTACCAATTTCTTTCTTTTCTCTATTATCGTTAATATACCTAGGTTCCTGTCTGGATGTGTTGGTGATACACTGCTACTAGACCCGGAAGACGGTTAGGCGAAAGCTTCTTCTATTCTGTCCATAACCATTTGAACCATTTGATGGTTTAAACGACTATCTACTGTCCTTAAGTTTCTTCTCACCCCAACAGCATGATTTCAGGAAGGGTTACTCTTGTATAACCAACCTGCTGACTGCGGTGGACAGATGGACAAGCATCCTCGATCGCAAAGGAAAGGTTGATATCATTTACCTTGATTTCTCAAAAGCTTTTGATAAGGTTAACCACTTGTGTCTTACGAATAAGCTCAAACGACTAGGTATCAAACCACCTCTAATCGATTGGCTTACTTCATACCTAAAAAATCGACACTTTAAGGTTAGGGTTAATTTCACTTTATCTCAGGCTATGGAATGTCCTAGTGGGGTCCCCCAGGGCTCAGTACTAGGGCCTCTTCTCTTCTTGATCTACATAAATGATCTTCCTCAACAGGTAACGTCAGACTTATTACTTTTTGCCGACGACGTGAAACTTTGGAGAGAGATACGCAACCAAGACGATATACAGGCACTTCAAGAGGATCTGACTCGACTTCAAAGTTGGGCGGACGATAACGGACTTACCTTTAACACTTCTAAGTGTAAAGTAGTCCATCTGCGACATGTCGCAAACTACAGTTACAACTTAGGAAACTCCTCTCTAGTAGTATCCCAAGTCGAAAAAGATCTAGGAGTCCTGGTGCCCCATGACTTAAAGTCTTACGCTAACTGTGACAAAAATGCCTTCCGAGCAAACCTTGCACTGGTAACGTTGAGGCGCATTTTTGGCCAGTTTGACGGAAGAACTTTCCACACAATCTTCAATAGTTTCATCCGTCCCCATTTAGAGTACGGAAACATAGTACTCCCCCTCACTCCAAAAGGACAAGGTCACTTTGGAGCGTATCCAACGGTGAGCCAGGAAATCAGTTCGAGGACTCAAATCTAAACCTTACGAAGAACGCCTCCATTCACTAGACCTATACCCATTAGAGTATAGGCGTCTTAGAGGTGATTTATTAATGGCTTATAGTATTCTTAACACTTCTGGACATCCTCTTAAACACCTACTTAAGCTTAGTTCGAATAATAACCTAAGGGGTAACACCCAGAAACTGGAAACACAACATAGCAAGACGGAATGTAGACACAACTTCTACTCCTTAAGAGTTGTCAAAATCTGGAATTCGCTGCCGGCCGAGCTAGTCCAAGCGACTTCTCAGGAGTCCTTCAAGAGGCAACTTGACCTATTCTTAAGGACCAAGGACAGCATCACACTATGATTTACCAATTTCTTTTCCTGTTTTATTGTTAACATACCTAGGTTCCTGCCTGGAGGATTTGGTGATCCCCTGCTACTAGACACGGAAGCCTGTTAAGCGAAAGCTTCTATTCCGTCCACAACTATTTGAACCTTTTGGCGGGAAGAGTGGGCTTACATCAACTACAGTTCTCATAGTTTCTTCTCAGCTGGGGACTGAGTGTAATTTCATGAGTCGGCTCCTTTTGCTTTTAAATTTGTATCTAACGTGTTAAAAATAATCTAGTCAGCTTACACTTACAAAGATTGTTCCAACCACTCAGATTCTTGACACGATAACTTGTGATCTACTTTTATAGGTTAATAAACCTATCATTATTACCCAGGACTAAAGATTTCAAGATTAATGCCGTATATCTGATGCCTAGTGCGTCAATTAGTTTGGTTTTAGTTTTCATATGCATTTCTGCCACGTAGTGCTTTGTAAGGTTGGATGTACATCCTATTGTGTGGTGAGATACTTAGTAGTGTTTCGTGATATATGTAGTCATCTGTAAAAACTTGTTGACCCAGTATTATTTTGGCTTGTGTTTTTGTATTCGACAAGTAAACAGGGAGTGTAGTAACATTGGTTACATGAATATCCAAATCAATGTGTTTCATAGAACCCGTATTACATTCAGATTCTTGCTGTATATGCTTATATTGATCTAGGTGGTCCTTTGAGAGCCACTTTGGTTCAGCAAGGTTGTAGAGATTTATCGGAGAAGGGATTCCATCAGTTTTAGTAGGATATCATGGTTTGTGCGATTCTCTTAACTCATCTGGTATAACTGCACCCCTTTGTCTTGTCTCATTAGTGGTCAATACAAACTTTTATCATGTTCTGGATTTCATCTTTGTGAGTTACTATTATCAGAATTACTCTTTACATCCCTTGTAGGTTTTCTCTCACTTCCAGTCTGTCTTCAGACCAGCAATACGCTATCTTCAATCTGTTAGCATACTCAGAGCTTGCAAACAGCATATACTTTATCGTAATATGGACTTCTATATCAATGTACCTCCTCCCGTGCATTTTCTTGATGTTACTGAAGCGTTCAAATCACTTAGCAATGTGGAAAAGGATTATGTTTTCAGCTGCACACAAGCGTCTTGGATTGGAGGTCTCATAGGATTAATTCAAACATCTCCTGAGTCTGCTGGAATATTTTTGTTTGTCAGTCGCTTTTTCCATTTGGAGAACATACATTCGTTTGTTGAAAAAGCGACAAAAAATAATTTTTCCGATGAGGAAATAACCCACATTTTATCTTATTTCGCCTCAGTGCTGGGTAATTTCGGGAATTACCTGTCTTTTGGGGACACCAAGTTCATCCCAGCTATCAATGTCGACAGGGTAACAGAATTTTTATCGTTGAGCAGTGAATTTTCTAATTCAGAAACTGGTCTTAAAGCTTTATGGAAAGAAATAGCTCCAGCCATCTATTCGTTAAGTCCTCGCCGTTTACGCCTTGGTTTTAGTCCCACTGAAATAACGTCTTATTACTCTGAAGACTGTATTCGAAGTGATGCTGAACTAGTTCAAAAATATCTGGAAAACGTTAAAATTGAAGCGTATAATACCCGACTTTTTAAGAGTAGTAACTCCAACTCCAAAGTTTATTCGATTCGGTTTGCGTCGGCTGAGAAGAAAGTTCAACCTGTGCATTTTGATGCCCTTCCTTCGGGAACTTCTTTGCAGCTCGAGTATGGTGACTACTGCGAACTTATGGAGTTACTGGTTGACTGCTCTTTAGATGCCAAAGCACACTCTCTTAACAAAATCGAATCAGAAATGTGGGATCATTATGCTCAGAGCTTTTATACTGGGTCCTTAGACTCTCACAAAGATGCTTCTAGACTATGGGTCAAGGACAAATGCCCTGTGGTTGAAAATTACATTGGCTTTATTGAAACTTATCGTGATCCTTTAGGTGTACGTGCAGAGTTCGAGTCATTTGTCGCAGTTGTGAATCGATCAATGTCATCTAAATTTCAGCGGCTAGTAGATAATGCTGTTGACTTGTTATCTAATTTGCCATGGCCTTCTACTTACGAAAAAGACAGGTTCTTACAACCAGACTTTACAAGTTTGGACGTAGTAACGTTTGCAACCTCAGGAATCCCTGTTGGAATTAACATTCCTAACTATGATGATGTGCGCCAAGTTGATGGATTTAAAAATGTATCCTTGGGGAATGTACTCAGTGCTCGCTTCAAGGTAAAGTCTGTTTGTATAACCTATTTTTCGTATTAGGACCCCAAATCAGAATTTCTCCGAGAGGAAGACAAGAAGTTGTATGTGGATCATGCGGAGAGTTCTTTCGAACTTCAAGTTGGACTTCATGAATTGTTAGGCCATGGTTCTGGGAAGCTCTTTCAACGTAGTGACGATGGAATACTGAATTTTGACACGAATTCTACGAAAGATATCATAAGTGGAGGTCCCATACGTAGTTGGTATGTCGGTTACTTTCACTTTCCTATGGTTACTATTATTGCTACCTTCCCTGTTTTCTTATATATACCAAGTAACAAGTGGTATATAATTCTAGCCGTTAGTGTAAACTTAGATCTATCCGCTCGAGATATTTGCTATAGATATCCAATTAACTAGTGTCAAAAAATTGTAGCACATTAAACGTGAGCATATGCAGGTAGTTATAACAATTTAAGATGACAAGAAAGTACTTCTGTCTAAGTTGCTGCGATTCACATCAGTGACAAGAAATCAACGAAATAGTAATATCAACGTTAGTGGAAAAGTAAACTGTGAATATGGTACAAAAATGACAGTGGGAAATTAGTAATGTTATGTTACGACTTTTAGCCTTTCCTTAACCGGCTTGTATTTTCATCGTAATATAGGTAGATGGAGATAAGCATATTCTGAAGTATGGACAATAAGGAAGTGTCATCCACTTGTATGTCTATTCGCACTCGAACTCACAAAACTTTTGTTCCCTTTTTATTTTTATCGTTAACACCAGTCAGTCGCGGCGTAGAGCCCCCCCCAAATGCCCTGGTACGGCTGATGGTGGGGAGGGTTCGCTTTCCCTCTCGAAATGCTCTCACATGGCTGCGCTCATACAGCCACTGCCGGGAAAGTCCTACTCACTGCCTTCTCGCGGTACTAGTGTTGTTTATGAAGTTGAGAGGACGGAAAACGAATGTCCCGCGCTTTAACTGGGCCGGTGGATATGGAGAGTTCACCTTGGGGATTTGGAAAATCCTGGTGCATATGGGCTCCAGGATTCTAAGAGAACAAAAGGCGTATAAACCGATTGTTGATCACCGGCTACCACGTGATTGCATCTCCTGACGTTGCCCCACTGCCTTGTGGATCAGACCTTCAGGTTGAAGGCTCTGTGTTTGACCTCCTAACAAAACCACCTTCGATCTGGGCACCCGGGCAGTATAACATCCCACACACAAATCATGTGATTTGTACGGCACATGTATTTGGTCCACCTTTGTACCAATATTTATATTCATATAAATAAAATAAGAACCTGATACATAAGTACACTGGTTCAAGTTGTCACGCTTCAGCAAAGCCAGATGAAATTGTTATGTCAAATTCCAGAGTAGTAGAGGTAGTAACTGTATTAGTGGTATTAGAAAATATTAAGCATCGAAAATACGACTCAAAATAATGTAAATTAGTGAAATAAATAAAAATTATGCGGAATTCAGAAGCTAAAAATTTGGGGAAAGATATTGTACGGATGCATCTGCGCTATTGGAAAAGACGTCTAGCCATTTTATTCGGTCTCTAACCAACGAATACGATTACTACGTGGACCCCGATCGTGTATTGTACACCCACTAATTTGGCTCAGTCCGATAATCAATTATTATGGACTGATGCCGTGTTTTTCTTTGACCGCTCCTTTGTTTTCTTTCAGCCTACTTCACCGGATAACATCTCCCGTCGAGTTAGGCTGTAATTGGAGATACGTGAAACATGTCACAAGCACCTCAGTTGATGCAGATATATTGCCTCATTAGTCAACCTATCATTTTTACCTAGTACACTTGGTCATTACAAGGCCAAAACACAGGATTTTGTGTTTATGTGTGCGCAACCATGATCTGGGGACTTGACTTCCATTCATTGCATCCACGTTTGTCCATTTTGATCTCAGCAGCTGAGTAGTATCACCAAACCTCGGTGCAACAGGTAAATCTGTGAGGTCATTAAGGCACTAATATTATATCGGTCGTTGATTGTGGGAAACAGCCGCCGACTTCTTGGTTAGACCTGCCACTAATGGAAATGTAAATAATCTCATGGATCGATTTTGCAGCGTATACGCTTAAATACTTCCTTGTGATAACTCATACGGCTCAGTTCGTTTAAACTAAAATAGGAAAGCCTCTTTCTGCTTATGAAAGCAGCGTTAGTCAATTCCTGGATTATTATTAAGATAATAGAATAAGTAGATAACTAAAATGCATTCGAGTAACCGGTTCGTGTCAAATTAGTGTCCTTATCGGTCGTTCCCAATGTACATTCTTTGTTATTTCATTTTTGACTTATTGAAAGTTTTCAATGGATTGTAGCGTAAACACATTCTCTGTCGTTTTAGTTTCCGTCGTAATCTACTCAGAACAAATACATTGCAGTATCTGTGCATTATTCCTAACTTTTGCCGTAACTGTAAAGTTAACGCTCACAAGATTATGTGTAGGAGTATACACAGTAAAAAAAAACAGTATTCTGAATAGTTTGATTTACGATTATAGGTGAAACTAATTAGTAGATCTTGTTATGCGTAGTCAAGATACAGGATTCGATCTCGACAGATTCATATAGTAGGAATATTATGTACTGACTGTCTTTTTACATTTAAACTAACAGTTTAAGTAGGGGTCTTTACTTTCAATTTGGAATTTGTTACGAACTAATTATAATTGGTATTTATGATCACCCAATGTTAGCACTATTCAGGTCGATATTAATGTCATATTTTCATACGTATCCGTTCGGAGAGCCAGCCTGATTATTAGTGAATATGTGTCATCCTTGTGAAAGTGAAGGAAATTACGTGTCGATCATAAAATAGTGTGATTATAGCAATTTCTCTTGACTTATAACTTCGTATTGGGTACGAACAGTCAATCATATACATATTTTTTTGGTAAAATTCCTGACGATGACTTTCATCAATGGTATTTTCTTTAACTCTTAAGGTATGAACCAGGCGAAACATACGACAGCAAATTTTCGAGTTTGTCTTCGGCAATTGAAGAATGTCGAGCTGAATGTGTTGGAATTTATCTATGCAATTTACCACTTGTCTTGGAACAGTTTGATCTTAATACTAATTGCTCTACAGACAGTGTCCCAGATGTTGTCTACGTTAATTGGTTGTCCATGGTTCGTTCAGGTGTAACTTCTATGGAATTCTATTCACCTGCAGAAAACGCTGGCGATATTGGTTCGTGGCGTCAGGCGCATTGCTGTGCTCGTTATGTGATTTTGCGGGTAAGTGTTTTCAGAACGTTTTGCAAGTTACACTGAACTTCCACTTCGTGAAACTTCCTGTTTAGTAAAATACGCCACCACGTTTCTGTTTTCTTGAGCCTGTATTTTCGTTGGTTGGTCTAGATGTAAGCTCAAATAAAACACAATACATTTTCCTTCTGGTCATTATGCTGTCAAATGATTAATAATGAGAGAATACTATGCTTTCTGTGAGTTAAATCTCTCAACTCAATTTTTATCATGATGGTTATTCAACTAGGTGTATCTTTTTATAACCCATAGTACTTCCTGCTTTCTGTCTTCGTATTATTGACATTCTTCTAAGTTATACTAGCTGAACGATAAAACTCCATTTTCTGTAAAATTACGTTTATCTTCTTTTTCTTAAGCTTATAATGCAATATAGTTTTGCTACGTTAATGTTTTTATCAATATCATTACTTTTATCGCGTTATATGTGTGAATTTAAGCAAATAATTGATTGATTCGTGAATTCTTATCAGAGGAAGCATTTTAGCATCCGATTACTTGTGCCAATCTTTGAAAATCGTAGTGTCTGGTGGTGTGGGTAGCTAGCATCTCTATAATTTCTCTCATTTCTTCATTATCACTAAATGTTACGTATATTACTCCTGACTGTTATGTCAATTTTAGATATACTGTTTATTCTTCACTAGGTTTTAATTGAAGCTGACAATTCGCTAGTACGTGTAGACGAAATAGTTGGTGATGATGGTGCACCTGATTTAACTATTTTCTTAGATCGCCAAAAGCTTTTGACAGTGGGTCGTCCGGCAATTGGCGAATTTTTACGAAAAATTCAGGTGAGACCTTTTCATTTCATGTTTTTATGGATTCTTATGAGTAGACATGTATTGTGCATGTGCATATACTGGTACATTACTACTGTGCCATTCTGGAGACTTCAAGAGTTGATACAAATAAGATTAATGAATTATATGTCGTGGCATGACATCAGTTTATAATACCACTGACTTTTGGTCCAAGGTTTCTAAGAAAGCCCCTTGAATGCAATTATTGTTATTCATTGTCAAATTTTATTATTTTAACACATAGATATTGGTACAAGGAGGCACCAAATACATATGCGCCACACAAATGTCATTCGATATGTGTGAAGGCTGTGATACTGCCCGGGTGCCCAAACCGAAGCAGGTGCTTTTCTTAGGGGGCCACTCCCCGAGCCTTCGACCTGAAGGTCTGATCCACAAGGCAGTGGAACATCGTAAGGAGATGCAGTCCCATAGAAGCCGGTGACCAACAATTGGTTCATACGCCATTTGTTCCCGCAGGATACTGGAGCCCATGTGCACCATTGGTTCGGGATCCGGTTGAAGCGCCAGACATTCGGTTTCCGTCCTCTCATTTTCGTAAACAACACCCCCGCCACGAGAAGGCAGTGAGTAGGACTTCCCTGGCAGAGGTTATATACGCGTGGCCATGTGAGAGCATTTCGAGAGGGAGAGCGGACTCTCCCCACTCTCGGCCGTACCAGGGCATTTGGGGGCCTAGTAGTATTGCACCTCACTAATCCATCATCTAGGCACGTTTCTCACAACAATATAAACCGCTAACTGTGCAACCATTTAGTGAACAATTCACTCCAGTGCCAATTATTTACCTGGATTTCAGGATTAGACCACTCTAATATTGCAAGTGTTATGACTTAAGTCAAAGTGGCCCAAATGCAATCATCTCTGGTTTCTAAAATCTTAAATTGTTTATTACTTCATATATTCCACTCATCCTTCGAGCCTCTTCTTTCGTTCTCGACAAGCGTTATCATTATTTTGTTTATCAGTATTTGATTTTCTTGGTTTTCTGATTATGCTGATAAAATGTATGGCAACGTGGATGAGTGCATTCATGCTAGATGCTACTCTATGTATGGTTGCTTTCATATGTTGACTTTGAAAGTCTGGATAAATAGCAAATTCGAACAACGTGATATGACAACTTGGCACAAATCGTTTATGTGCCAGACTATCTCGATGATGAATGAGTAGCTGACGAACTATTTCTTGGTAGTATAATTATTTTCTAAAGTTTCACTCACTGAATGCTTTCTCTCAATTCTTTTGTTTCAGTATTATAAAAGTACAGCCAATGCTAAAGATGGTTGCGCCTTCTTCCAGCATTATTGTCAATTGCTACCAGAACATATTAAATTGCGCCAAATTGTGATTAATCGCAAAAAACCTCGACCTATTTTCGTTCAACCTGGACTCCGTAAAACCCCTCACGGTGTTGAACTAATATCATATCCTACAACTTATGCCGGTGTAATACAATCATTCGTGGATCGTTATGGTGATTTGCCTCTTGGGCAGAAAGCTCTTGATGCGCTAGAAACAATTTGGCGCCGTGAACTTCCGTATTTCAAAAACATACCACTTTAAGTGACTTGTCACAAATTGTTATTTTCAATTAATTTTGGTTAATATATTGTATGTTTATTGTCTCCACGTGGATAGATGAATATTGTTTTCATTTCTTTTTGCTTGGTTATAGTATTAGTGGTTGTGTGATGGTTTAATAGCTCCAAGTTATGGTAAATATGTTGTGTTATAATGTTCAAATCTCTCTATTTCAATTATTAAATCACAGGTTCAAAGTTGCTTTACGTATGTGGTATTACTAACCCATGCATAGGAACCGGCTTAAAATTATGCTCCTGAACCTGTTCTCTTTAGTTAATAGAATAGCTCACAAATGACGGTTATAGTTTTCGAACTTTTCTTCGTAATGTAGATCTTCACCCCACTTCTGTTGACATTGCAGTAAAAGTTACAAGCCTGTTGTTTCAACTGAAATGAAAATCGTTAATTGAGGCTAGAGTGAAGCTCATGTTCAACAGTAAATTCTGTTCAGCTGAGTGATGTGCGATCTAAAACTCGCTTAGTAAGCACTTACGATTTTCTCAATAAAAGAACACTTTGATGCTTTCCTGTTGCTAATAACGATAAAATATACTGACTGATCTTTGATGGGCAATTTCACCCGTAATTCTTTCAAGTGAAATTAGAAAGTGTTTGTTTAAGCCTCACTATACTGATTCTTCAAATTCGAAGCAATGTTATTTTCACCTGTTTCTAGTCTCATAGAAATACCTTGGTCACTTAGCTTGCCTGACTTCTGTTTTATTCTTACACTGTTGGGTTCCATTTAATATTAAACATCAGAGATGTTTTCTTTTATATCGAATTATTGGTGTGAGTAGTAGATCCCGAAGTTAAGATTTGTGCTTTTATCAGATCTTCGTGGGGTTGCACATGGTTAATTCCGAGTTACATATAAATTGTATTGTACCATGTCAAGGCCATATAGGTTATTCTAGCTTCCGGACAGACCAGTTTACTTACTTACGCCTGTTACTCCCCAATGGCCACCAACCAGCTTTCTCCAACCCAATCTGTCCTGGGCCTTTCTTTCTAGCTCTATCCAATTATTGTTCATTCGTCTCATGTTTGTCTCCGTTTCTCGGTGTAATGTGTTCTTTGATCTTCCCCTTTGGCCCTTATGATTCCAAGTGAGGGCTTGTCTTGTGACGCAGTTGGATGCTTTCCTCAATGTAGGTTCTATACACTCCCAGCGTTTCTTCCACTGGAATCTGGTTTGTCCTCTCCCACAGTAGGTTATTGCTAATAGTGTCTGGCCAACGGATTCTAACTATTTTGCACAGGCAACTGTCAATAAACGCTTGTATTTTCTGGATGATGGCTTTCGTAGTTCTCCAGGTTTCCGCCACATACAGTAGAACTGTTTTGACATTTATATTGAAAATTCTGACCTTCGTGTTGGTTGACAGTTGTTTTGAGTTCCAGATGTTCTTCAGTTGTAGATATGCTACTCTCATTTTGCCGATCCGTGACTTCACATTTGTATCAAATCTATCGTGCTCATGAATGATCCTGCCCAGATATGTAAATGTTTTTACATCATGGAAAGCTTCTCCGTCAAGTGTGATTTGATTGGTGCATGTTGCGTTGTATCGGAGAATCTTGCTTTTCCGTTTGTCGCTCTTTTTGAGTGACATTTTGACCTTGTCAATTATTCGCTTATTAATCTTGATTTTTTATATGGACGTATGTGTGTGTATTGCTTATCCTACTTATCACATGTCTGTAGCTTATTTTTGTTTAACTATAAATATTGAGTCGTTTGTCAAAACGAGTTGGTTTGTTGCTTTCTCTGTCTCATCGTTTTCCATTTTTCCAATGACAGTCTGCACTTCCATACTCGAATCTTATTAATTGATTCGACTCCTAATTCGTTTCTATATTCGCTCGCTTGTGCGCGTCAGCTTTTCTGCTCGAATTCTCTCGGCGTGTTTATAGCTTATTGATCTGTACTTTTCAATAATAAACTGGTTGGCGCCTTGTGCTGCCTTCTAAATTTATACACCGTTGGGATTTATTCAACGGTTATCAGGGTGCTTGATATACAAAGCCTAGGGAATTATTTCAATGCTAATCCACTGCAAAGTGTCTTTTTGCTAAAGGAAACTATAATGCTGGATAGGGTTTCTATCGACTCAAGATTGTGCGCATATCGTTTTGCCTTAGTTTCCTAACCATGCCAATTCTCAAATTTTGTTTCGATTACTACTTCTTGGTCGTGTAATTAAGGTGTTCGCTTAGATTTCCCGATACTTTATCTTCTATATTTACCACTGGTTGATCGACTTTCTACATTTTTTGGAAAATGTTCTATTACGTGGATTTTTCGTTCTGTTTCCATGCACATTACTCATACATTAATACACCGTAGCAATACATAATGATTTTCTGTTGGATTTAATAAATTTTCAAGCAGAGATTCAGCTTTCTGTAGGTCAACTGCGCCGAGTTAAGGGAGAAAAATTCTCATTCTTTGGTTGTCTGTTTGAAATATTCAGGAGCGGGGTATTTTTCTGAAAGTTAGTGTCACAAACTAAATTAATCTAACAGGATTCTGTTTTCACAGAAGACATAAATCAAGTGATTTAGAAACCAAACCTTTTATATTAACACAATAAGTATTACAATAACTGTCATCTAAATGTCTAGGCTGATATGTTGACAAAGGTGTTGATTTTTGTCACAGGAACTGGCCCGAAGAGCTAATTAGCTTTATGTTTATATAAGTACGTAGGTACATATAGTCGATTCTTTTGTACAGTAACAACCGGTGCTGGAGAGTCGTCATCTGATGATCCTCCATTGTTTTCTGAAATGAATTAAAATTAATCGTGAGAGTATAAATAAATCTAAGATGATATATACAACAGGATAGATTGATATGTGTTTCAAACCGGCTCGTAGTAATAATTTACTTCATGAACGGATGGTGTTAACCTAAACTGTATATTACAATCACTCAATATTAGATTAAGGTGCATATCCATCTCACAAGTGAGTGGCCATCTGGACTCAGCATCTAAAGAGATAACTTTTTGAGGGTTCGAAGCTAAAGATAACAGATTCCAGTACCAAAGTGAACATCATCTCTTGGGTTTAAGTATATCTGGCTGATGAATTCTAAGTAGGATGAAACACGCATCCTGGATCCCGTCGCTAGCCATATCCCATCTATTCTATGTGCGCATTAATATGGGATTTTTTGCTAGTTATAGACGTTCATGGTTTACGTGGTTTAAACTCTTAGTTTCAATCTTGCTCACTAGATAAACAAAGCCATAGCTCACTGTCTATTTACCGAGCTGAGTGCAATCAAATAGTATAATTAGTAAATATATAGTATGGTCAGCTACTAGTTAACTAACGGCTGTTCATTCTTTCAACGGATAGACCAATAAGTAAAAATATTACTAATACCTATGATTAGAAAAATAACCAACCTCAGCTTCCCCATTTTAGTCATTGGCATAGAATCGTGTCAACAATGGTTCTTTAAGTTTTCATTCTTTTTATTTTTGTTTGATCATAAGCGTAGTGTGTGGTCTTCAATTTGGTCAAGTACTCATTGCTGATTTGGGTTCATCAATCATGCCAAGTGAGTATAGTTTGATTTGTTACATTTTCAAAATCATGAGTTCTATTAACCAAATGACTTTGAACAACTAATATAAAAATAATGGGATACTTTGAAAAATTTCATCAGTTGAAACAATTCAGTTAACATTACTACCGGTCATAACTATCTAAACCAATTTGTGTATTAACCTCGAATTATGGTTTACTTAAGTTATCTTAACATTAGTTGGAACCAATCTTAAGAAGATTTCCATTTGTGTACAAAGCAAAATCATAATAGTATAGATGCAGAACTTACTTTCTGGAGCACAATTTACTTCATCGAAAGACATATATATGCAAAGACACAATAATATAGTAATCTGAAATGGAATTCGTCGTCAGTTGTGTGTACATAGTAGGACAAACTTTGAATATTTTCATTATCAGCGTAGAGTCCTCTTGCAATTCGCAAGTCACGAACATTTACCTCCATATATATTTGTTTATACAGGTGTTTACACTGAATCTATATAGGATTGTTTGAATGAACGGATCAATAAACTGTCGAATATCACTACAATAATTGATTATTGTTTATAGTTATTTTGTTTACATTGAAGGAAAATAAATTTATCTGACAGTTCGGCTAATTAGATCATTCGAAATCCACAAAGTACTATGTACATTTGTGATTGATAAATCAATTTGAGCCACAAATGTTCTACAATAAAAGTAATTGTTTTGTTTATTTATTTTATAATGCATAATGAACTGTTCAATAAACGAAAGGTTTTAACGTTGGCCGATAATTTGGTTTCCGGGACACGTACTCCTTTGTCGATTGTCGCCTTGTTAGTTACTCTCATAAGTGACTTCCGTTCAGTATATATTTATTTTGCTTTTGAACACATGATACTTTCCGGCATTATTCCCTGTTACCCTTTGGAAAGCGGAAAGCTATCTAATTTGGTTATTAATAATGAAGTGAGCTTACCCCATAAAAAATTACAACGGTAAAAGGAGTAATTTGCATATATAGTCTGTCGAGAGTTAAGTGTGTGAGTGTCTATTCGTGCTTATTGTTTGATTGTCCGACATTTAAAGCCGAATAATGCATTGGGGATCACTATACTGGTTGAAATTTAGCTGATCAATAGCGTGTGTCATATATAAACAGACGGGTGGTTCAGTACTCAAAGTATTCGGTTTCTAATCAACCCAAAGACTAAGCTTCACACCATCTACTTTGGTTTTTTCAACCGACTTGCACCACTACCGCAATGTGGCTAAAAGCCAAGCACATAAACACGTACTTGATATGTGAGTTTCATTCATTATCATAACTACATTCTTTGACATTTACGTGTTTACCAACTATCATTTTTCAAATGATTTCACGTTTGGTAAATCTTCAATGTTTAACTTGGAGATTATTGTTAACC